TTTAGTCTTCATAATATAGGTAAATATCTAACAGACACAACTATTTAGTTATTTGAATTAATTAAGGCCAATGCAATAATTGTTTTTCATATCGAAACTGTAATATAAAGGCCATTATCCCACCAAAGCACCCCAACAGCGACATGAATTCGACATGACGCAAGCAGGCGACATGGAGTTGTCCCGACAAAGCAACGTGTTTTCTTCATTCAGTATCATCAATTGAAGACGAAGATGTTATTGTCATGTACTGGTATTTGCGAAATAAAAGAAAATCTTAAAAGTCCAAGAGGAAATTGTGAGTGCATCCTATTATTGCAAGAAACAAAAAAAACATGTTTGATGCTGCTAAGGAACTCGACAGACATCCAGCAAAGTTTAAATTATTTTACCGAATGTCAAAAGAACTCTTTCTTGAGCTGGTTGAAAAAGTCATACCTCAAGTCGAAAAAATTCAATTTCCGAAAAAGTGTGAGTGTTGAAGAAAGGCTGTTAATAACGCTAAGGTAAATAAATAATATTATTTCCAACGTGCAATTTCTGATCATTCTTCAATGATAATAACTGTTATATAAATTAACAAAAACTATATATTAATTTTATTCTGGTGAATATGTATAAATCACAAAGTTAATTTAAGTAATTTGGTGGAAGGTCAGATGTGTTGCTGTTGTCGGTGAGAGGCCACACATTTGGCTATTGGCTGCTATTGCGTGGTGATAGTGTGGTATAGCCACCGATTTCCGACGTCGCTGTTGATAGATGAAGGAAAAGATGTGCTGGTAGTATTTTTTTTAGACCATTTATTTTCGCCGTGGACATATGCAGGTGCAGGAGAAGGAATTGTGCTCAGACTTCTTGAGGGTGTCCATGAATTTAAGTTGTAGGTGTGGATATATGATAATGCAGCTGAAAACCTGCTTCTAGTATGGGATGTAGCTGATTGCCCATAATTTGCGCTGGATGCTGTTTCTGAAAGCGAGCCATCTAAAATGTCGTCAATGAGATTCATTACTTGTCTCTTCAATCGTCTGGTTTGTTGGTGGTTCATCTGGTTTACTTATAATAATAAACTCAGTAAGAACATTTTATTTTGGTTCCCATTTTTATTTTTGTTTTTACGACTTTCACATATTTCGACAAATGTCCTATTAGGATCAAGTACATCCAACTTTCGTTTTTTAGTTTTGTGTTTAGCTGTTTTTTGAGTGCCTCCTCTTTTAGCAACTAGTTTTGTAGGTTGTTATAACCATTGGCTCTGTAGGTTGTCACATTAGGTTCAGTTTCTTCCAATGCAATCTCATTTTGCACCTCAAGATTTTAGGATTCGGGGTCTACCTTCAGTTTTCTCGAGTTTCATTTTGTTCGAGGACATACCACTATTGCAAAAATTGTCTTTCAAATAACAGATGCTATTTGGAAAAGTTTACATAAGCAATATATGCCAATTCCCAATCAAAATCAATGGAAAGTATTAGCAGACAGATATGAAGAATTGTGGAACACACCAAACTGCCTGGGGTCGATCAAAGGGAAACATATACGAATACAAAAAATGCATAGAACTGGTTCTGAAAATTTCAATTATAAATCGTTCCACTCGCTTGTTTTGATGGCTTGCAGTGATGCTGACGGGAATTTTATTATGATGGAAGTTGGTTATGATGAAAGAAATAGTGATGGTGGCATTTTCAAAGCGTAATGGATGGGTCAATGGCTACAATAAGGATTAGATTTGCCAGAACCAAAGCCCCTGCCTCGTAATGCAACTGGTCAAAATTTTCCGCATTATATTCCGCATTACTGGCGAGTAAAATCTTCAACGCTACATCAGTCTGACACTGTTTTTCAGTACCTCTAACCTTTATAGATAGGGCATATTCTATAACTTCAAATTCATTAGGGACAACCTACAAAATAGAACAAATATTCATGTAAAATTGTACTACTGTCAGGAAATTAACCTTGTTCAATTAAAATATATAATAAAATGGTCATACTTCTGCAATATCTTCTGGGTACAATGATTTTTCTTGGCTGGTAATTACCATCTAAAATATTATTGCCATAAGAGCCAATTTCTTTATGGGACCCAGTCATTGCTTAATTTAGATGGTTTTCCTATAAAAGCGTACCGTTTTAAATAAAAGTAAACATAGTACAGTTGCCATAGATTACCCAACACACTCGGATATAACTAAATTTTTTCTCTGTAAAATCTCTTCTGATGACATTGTATCCATTTATCCAGTTTTCTGGTTTTGAAACTTCGTTTACGTCTTTTGTAGGAAACAAAAGAAAAATTACAAATTTATTGCTTACTGCGTAGTACCTACAGTTGGGTACAAAACACATAACTATTCTGAAGCAGTCATAAATTACAGTCGTAAAACTAAATTATTGTTGTTTAAAATTTGTAAATAGACATTGTAACCTTAAACATACTTTTATGCTTAAAATAGTAGTAAACATTTTTGGGTAACAATCGTTGGATTGACACACATACTTCCGATTTATTAAAGTCACAGTTTTATTTAAGAACTATTTTTAAACAAACAATTAAAATTTCTCTTATGGGGATTAGTTCAATTGGAAACATCGAGATAGAAACAGATAGAATGAAGTAGAGACGACATATACGTGAAAACTGACATCTGCGCATGCATATTCAAAAATCCTTCACATTCAAGTTATTTATACGTAGTTAATTTTATTTGTTTTATTATCCAAGTAAACATTGACTTTGAATATCAACTCCGTTTTTCATGATTAATTTTGATATAGGTAACACATTATACACTGCTTACGACAAAAAAAATCTTGTGTGCATTTTGAGCAAAAAGTTCGTTGCCGCTTTCGATAGATTGCCAACTCTCTATCTCAAACGTCAAAGTATTACTTTCCGCTCTTAATACACAAATAGCTGTTAGTTTTTTTTTTCAACTGGTGAAAAGAATAAATAAACATAAAGAAAAGATTTCATTTTATTAGTCCCCAGCCGAGATTTGAATTAAGGTCTCTCGCATGGAAGACAGACGTCGACTCCTCACCTCCACCGTCAGATTTATGATTTAAGTTCTAATACTGATAATTATATATTAGTTTCGTACAGTTTGATTAAAATTATCAGTTTATTTTAAAATGTGGACAAAACAAAAATAGAAATGCTTTTATTTATAGATTCTATACAAAAATCACTCATTTTATTTTATATTTATTCTCAATAACTAAAAAATATCTGACAATTAGTTTGACAGAATTGTCACTTATTTAAAATTATAAAATAATAGTACCTAGTTGGGTGACCAAAATATGAACTGTGATTGCTGGAATTTATTTTTTTTGCAGTGTTTTTACTACCTAGAATGAATATGCAATATATTCGTTTAGTTGAACGCAATAGCATACTTTTTCGTTTTATAGTCTGTGCGGAGATAATCTAATATCCTTGTGGGTGTAGGAAAAAGCTTGTTTGTCATTATTTCATACAATGAAAACTTCAATTAAATATGAATAACCTTGTTAAGAAGAACAGTTAATTTAATTTATTCTTTAAAAACGCAAATAGTACAAAAGTGATTCTAATTTTATCGTATAAGCATTTTATTTTAAAAAAATATCACATCTCTGAATTGAAAAGATAGGTTATAAAAAAAATAAACTAGTTTTAAAGGCTCAGAAGGAATTACAAATGTTCATGGTGTTCCTCTTAATTAATGTTTTATTTGAGTCAACTATTACTACCTATACCTAAAGTTAATAATTTTGGTAAATTTTTAAATTAAAATGACAAAAAAGATAATTCACAAAATACGTTAATTTTAACTGGTCACTTATTATTAAAGGATTATTTTTTCAAATTGCTATTTTCATTAAAATAATTTTCAAAAATTGTTTTTTAATTAAAATGATGGAGATTTAATAAAAAAAAATTCTACGGCCAAGTCATATTATTTATTGATCAAATAAATTACTAGACAATATTTAGGTGAGTTTGTATAATAAATATTATAGAAAATGTACCTAAGAGGTTTTAGGATTAATATAATTTAAAATATATTCCTAAAACAGTTTTTAGGAATCTACTAGGTACAAAGATAATTGATAAAAAGTATCTCTTTAAAACCAAATAGAAAATAGACCTTTGCAATCGGTATTTTAAGACTAAATAGCCCTAAAATACTGTTACCCTACACCCTACAGTAGCCTGCGGCCGTTATAGGAAACGTACAAATACAAAAAGGAGTGCAATGTCACCCATCACACTACAATTCGCTGCGGTCATCATAAGTAAACGTACGAGTAAAAAAAGAAGATAAAATAGTCCAGAAATGTCTAGAAATATCATTCCTTTTCAAGAAAAATCTGGATTGTTCGAGAAGGTTCTAGAATGTTACAGCGAGCAATATAAGTCGACGATCCTGACGTCAGATACCACTTAACTAACCGTTATAGGTAGGCTTACCATACGTCCCGATTTGGCCGTGACGGTCCCGATTTCAAAGGTATGTCCCGGGGTCCCGACCGGTCGATGGGTTTGTTCCGGTTTACAATTAATTACTATTGTGCAAACCACACTTAGTTATTGACGCAACTTGGCAACAATGCGTACCTCACAATTAGATGCGACGCTTCGCTTTTAGTGTTTCAGTCTTCAGTTCAGTCATATCATAGATGTGCATGAGTCGACCAGGACAGGGATTCTTATGTGCGTACTTGACATGTAACGAATTGAATAGAGAGAGACATTACATACAAATCGTATTCTGTGGAACGAAGATAGTCGTTTCAACACGTCCCTAATTGAAAGATGAGAATCCCAATACAGGAGACCTCGTCTCTCTAAAGACGTGCCTGCTGCAGCCCTGCATCTTGAATGTTTTTCGCGCAATTACTTGTAGGTCTCTACAGTTCCAGCACCAGTAAGTGTTGCGAAATAATGTCATTTGTAGTAGTTATTTTGACATGCAATTCGGTATTTCAGCATATTGCTTTTGATCATGCCAAAACAGAATTGCTCATTTACCGCTGAACTTCAACGGGACTTCCCTTTTTTTAAAAAAGTCGCTGGATCCCGCGTGAAATGCGACAAGTGTACAGCCGAGTTTTGCGTAAGTCATGGTAGCCGAAGCGATGTAAATGATCATTTAAAAACTGCCAAACATAGATCAAGTGAGGAAGCTGCTGCAAGTTCGTCTAAAATCACCTAATTTTTCAAAAGTTATGACACAGGAGATACAGAGCTGGTAATAGCTGCTAAAGAAGCAGCACTCGCTTTCCATACTGCCAAACATGATTGAAGTTTCAAAACGTCGGATTGTACCTCAAAATTGATGTCGACTTTTTTTGAGCAAAAGTTTAGTTTGCCTAGTAACAAATGCGAGGTGATAATTTTTAATGTTATTGCTCTTATGGCCATAGACGAATTAAAAGTGCATTTAAAAAGGACACATTTTGTTACCATTATAACAGATACCTTCAATAGGAAAGAACAGAAACTTGCACCTGTTGTTGCACGATATTTTGTCCCAGACGAGGGAGTACACGTCAAACTTCTCGACTTCCAGATAGTTGTTGGAGAAATGTTCCAAGTTTTAAGTGATCATCTGGTCGCAGGTATTATAATTATTCACCTTTAGGGACCGCGGGTTCAGTTGTGCCATCTTGGGTTCTCTGAAAGAATGTTCTGCAGAGTCCGGGCTGACACATTTGAATCACGCGAGTGACATTTTTGTTTTGTCTTGACATCAAAATAATAATATCTTTCATATTAAACATTTACTTAAATTTAACTAACAATAAATTAAATCTTTAAATTCAATAACAAATTTTGATCTCCGTTAACCTCCAATCACTCGAATCACACTCGGAGAAACATGTTCCACACTGAGGTGAACGCACCTCCTTCTGTTGACATTTGACAAGTCAAAGTCTTCAAGTGTCGCTTGTCACCATTGTCAAGTGGAAACGGTTAAACAACTTGAACCAAAATGAAGAGAAAAATTTAAATTTGAAAATATTAATATTAATAAAATTATGATTTAGCAAGTTGTAAACATCCCGAAATATATAATTTTGGGAGTGAGGATGACCAGGAACTTGTTGGATACGTTGTGGACAGTAGGTAGACTTTTTCATAATTATAATGTATATAAAACATATATAAAAAAAAAACCTTCAGTTTTTTTTACTTTGGCCTTCTGCGTTTTACTTTCTTCATATCAAATATTGCATTATAGATTCAAATTTCAATATATATTCCACAGTCACCCTCTAATTGTAAATTTCTTTAAATTTTAACTAATTTGTTAACCTTTTTTCAATTTTGTGAATAGTGAGGGTGGCATGATTCCTTAATTCCACACAAGCTAACTTGCTTTTGGAGATCAGATTTGATTTGTAAGGGCTTATCCCACACTCACTATTCCCAATACCAGGTTTTTTGTCACTTTGTCTGTTTCTTGTAATTTTTAATTTGTTCAAACAATTGTATATATACTATTTTAACTTTTGACTTAAAATTCTAATTCAGATTTTATAATTTTTTTAAATCTTTTTAAATTGTAAGTTTACATCCACAATTTTTGTAGATGAGCACTGATGATGGCAAATAAGCCGAAAGCGCTTTGCATTGAATAATAAAAAAGTTTTGCACGAAATACAAGTTTTTCCTTTTTGAATAGTAGGAATAGGTTGCGGGGCGCATATTGTACACAACTGTTTACAAAATGCTGGTGGATGTGTTACCAATTGATTTAGAAAGCCTTATCGTAAAAATTTACAAATATTTTTACATTTATACCGTACAGGTCACTCAAATGCAAGAATTTTGTACATTAGTAAATGTTGAATACAAAAAACTACTGTAACACGGATGTACTTGATTTCTTTCACTTTTGCCAGCGGTTGAGAGAATATTTTTGATGGATTGAAATCGTACTTCCTCTCTCAAGAGCAATGCCCACTCGTAATAAAACGGGGGAATTGTAATTATGATTTGTACATGGTCAATTGCAATTGTTTAATCAGACAATTCTTAATATGGAGAAATCAGATGCTAGTGTCACAGACGTCGTAATGCAAATGATAAGGCTAAAGACAAACCTGCAAGACAGATTAGAAAACAAATTTATCCCACATGGTGCCAAGCAAATACTGAAGAGATTGGAGGGCGATCTAAGAGTGAACATAAATGAGTTGAATGAAGAGATTTGGGATTTTTATAGAAGAGCCATTCAATATCTGGATTTGTGGAAGGATATAGTTTCGGTGGGGCGGAACATTATGACTGGATATGTCTAAAACAAGAACTTATGTGGACTGAAATTGAAGCAAGCGCAGAAGAAATAAATCAACTTTTTCATTAACATGGACAGCCTTTTCGACGAACTGAGCTTGGCAAATAGATTCTTCAGAAGTAAACAAGGTAACTGGAATGCTAGTGCACATCCAATACGTTTTGAAGAAAAGTGGATTTAGATTTTCATGCATTTTAAAAATGAACAAATAGCGATTTTTAATTTGTCGAAAATTACAGAATTTATCTTTTGTCTACCTGGGACATCTACTTCTGTTGAATGAATTTTCTCCATGATGAAACACATTTCGTCAGATGATCGAGGGCGTTTAGATGAAAATATTGTCAGATCTTTGTTAAGATGCAAAATTAACCTGAACATGATATGCACAGAATTTTACGATAAAATTAAAAAAAAACATGTTTTCTTAAGAGGAGTATTTACTTGGCTTTAGAGCAGAGCATGCAAGGGTTTCGTAGTACCCCACTTTTAAAGTTTATTTTTGACATATTTTGAAAGAAAAAAATATGTGCGTGTAGGTAAAAGTTAAATTTTTGCTCCTCTGGAAACACTTTTTTAAAATTTCAATCTGTTTTTTCTAAAAAAAAAAAACACAAAACTCGACTTTTTTGATCCATTTTCTCAATTTTTTTTAGAAAAAACTAAATTGAATTTTGTAAAAGTGGTTCCAGAGAAGCATTGATTTAACCTTTATCTACACGTACATATTTTTTTCTTTTAAAAATACTCAGAAATAAACTTTAAAAGTGGGGTACTACGAAACCCTTACATTGCAATAATACTTGTTTAAGATGTTTTTACCAGCTAAGTATTTGGCTAAGCTCTTTAAAGACACAGATGCAGCTTCCTAATGTTGAAGAGTATGAATGGAAAGTAGATCAAGATTGAAGCCTGATACCCACTCTTAAGATTATGCCCGACCTGCTACCAGAAATAACTGAACTTATCATGCAAATGCAAAAAAGGTACTATACACCGATAATTTTCATACATGTACAATATTTTAACAATATTATTCTATTCTAGACTATGGAAGCAAAATTTGCAAATGCAGAAAAAAATATTGGCTACATCGGTTAAGGCACCTGTATAGCACAGAAAAAATGCAGAAATAGTTTGATCATAGCCGCTAATGTTTTGGAAAATGTAGATTAATGTGGTGAATCTGATTCTGATTAGTTTGAGTCCTGTACTTATATATTTTAATATTATTAATTTATGCTTTATATACTTCTAATTATTGAATTTTTTTTATTAGGAATTTATTGTATTCTGCAAAGCAATAGCCTTACTGTTTATAATCTATACTTATATATACTGTGCTTATACCTTCCATAAATAGTTTATATTTTATTTTTTTATTTCCCTCAAAAAAAAATCATTTAAATGAAAAAATCAATATCTAATAAAATAATGTAAGAGAGACAAACAGATTGCATACATTTCATCCCTGAGATATACAGTCAAGAGGCTGCTTCCTTTCCTGTAAAACCATGACATCAGTAATTGTTTATTGCTATGTTTTTGTTAATTTGATAGCAAAAAATATAAGGAAAGCACTCTTACCTTGACAATACACAGTCGAAACTTTTATGAAGAATATTTTTTTTTAGTTTAGGCCTTAGTTTTTCGTCAAATGAAAGGTATATTTCAAGAAGAAGATTTTTTAACCAAATTTGTCGACAGCCAAAATAAGTTTTAATCTACACCACACTTATATTGTAAAATAGGTACATAATATTATTTTGTGCTATTGTGGAATATTTTTCGGTTCCTCTGTCTCCACTTCGCGCGTTAAAGTTTAGAATATGCATCCCTCGTATCTACATGCAATTGTTAAAATTATTAATGAATGCTGATTTTGTTTGGTCTCGGAAGTAATTTTGGAGTATTTAGGCTCCACCCTTAAGTTGTAATTTTTATACCTACAAAAGTACCGTTGCCCCGCAGGTCTTTTAGTTTGTAATGTAAATTTTCCTCTTAAGAAAAATTCATTCTTCGGTCAAATATACATGGAACTACAAAGGTAAACCATAAATATAAATAATTAGGTGTTTTTGAGTGGTGAGTGCATACAAAAACTATATTTTGTATTAGTTTTTAGCGACTTAGGATAAAGTTTATTTTTGTATTTATGTTTGCTTGCAAAATAAACGCAACTTGGTATTACACCATTACTGTTATTATTATTATTATTATTTATTTTATTACGATTCATAATGTGTCCCGGTTTTGTATCCTAGAAATATGGTAAGCCTAGTTGTAATACAACGATAAACAGTCATTTACTTTCAGATTTACTATTTTACTTAAATAAATTTAAAATATTAAAAAAAAATAAAGAATTTAGAGCTTTATTAGCAAAAAATGTAACTTTCATTAAACAATGATTATTTTTATGCCTTTATAAAATCACAATAAAATGAATTGAATTTATTACTCCGAAAACTGTTATTTAATAAAAGGATGCTACTATGAAACTGATTTATATACGTTCTAGAATATCCCATTACGACTCAGGGTAGGTTCCTAAATAACAATCGATATAATCTCATATTTATTAAATTCAATTTGAAAGAATAAATATCGAATCTACGAAACCATATCAAATCACACACTTCGCTAAACAAAACAGAACCTTAAATAATTCATGACTAGTTCTTTTTTTCAGGCAGTAACAAAACAATTTTGTTTCATTCGCCGATTCCCTCTTGACCTATATAATTTACAAAGAAAGTTCAGGTGATATTTCAGTGCCTGGCAATGGATGTTGTGCGCCATTAGCAAAAAAATCCACATACCCTTCGTGAAAGCTTCATGAGAACCTTTAGAAATGTCTTACAAGATCATCAATCAGCCCGGTCCCTCCCTTAACATCTCAATGCTCTCTTTCTTGCGATATACCGCAGCCATTACCCATTAATCTTGGGGAGCCTTTGTGAACGTTCCCTGAACCGTGAGCCATTCTAGAGATACTTTTAAATTGTAATTACGGGTTATGCATTTTAGGAATGTTTCTACCCTTCGAAGTTTGCTAGCAAGCAGATTTGTGAACTGTTTGTTGTCAGCAAAAATCGCTTAATGTATTAAATTTCGCACAACTATTAGGTACACTGATTAAAATAATGTGTAAATTTGTTATTTATGTGCTGCTTGTATTTAGTACGATTTTGAAATTACCGAAACAACTAAAGTATTGCAATCGAAGATTAAGAGTTATTGCTCCGATTTTATGTGTGGTAAATAGTTAGTTAATAATTGTGTTTACCTATACATCAAACCTTTATAGTATACTACATCATATACTGTAAGTATAACTTAATTATCAAGCAGCGACTTTCTACAGCAATTATTGTTAACCTGCATGGTATCGGAATCGAAGGGAAAAAAACGGGCAAATTACTCTGCTTATCAAATTAATCGCAAAGTCTATCTGCGATATGGTCATTGCCGATTTGAGTGCAGGTCCGTACTTAGGTTTAAGTCAGTGTTCCGAATATTAAAACTATGTTAAGCACTCCATCTGGGTCTTCTGACTACAGGAGATCCCTGAACGAAAACACTATTAAGTCTTACTCTTCTGCGCTTACTCAACATCATTATCCAACCAAAGAACAGGCAATCATATTTCCAGCTATCGATAATACAAAAATTCAAGAATATTTAGTTCCACTTGGAGCTATTATTGAACCTAAAAACATCCTATTCTCCTCACGACTATCTAATAATAGAGTATGTATGTACCTAGCAAGCAAAGATATTGTCGAAAAATTTATCAATGATCATCGGGGCGTTATTATAATAAATAACGAGACAATTCAAGCTCGCAAATTAATAACACCATCAACACGCCTCGTTTTATCTAACGTATGCCCAACTATCCCTCACACAGTATTGACCGAACAGTTAGAAAAAATGGGTCTAAAATTGCATTCCCCAATGACATTTTTACGAATTGGCGCATCTCTGCCTGAATTTAGCCACATTTTTAGTTTTAGACGCCAAATTTTTATAAATCCCCCAGAAGGTTCAATCCCAGAGTCATTTGTGGTTGATTACGAGAACACCACCTACCGTATATTCTTATCCCAAGATTCACTAGTCTGCTACTCATGCAAACAAGAGGGTCATACAGCGGCTAACTGCAAAACTTCACCGCAATCACAATCACTTGGTAACCCTGACCCAAACCATTTATCCAACAAACAGACCTCTTCCTCGCAATCCATTACCGCATGCCACTCACCAGCACAAAACACATCAACAGAAATACATTCAGAGCAAACAACATCGCAGTCACTTGGCAATTCTAACCCAACCGAAATATCCAACAATCAAACCATTTCTTCTCCGCCCTCCCAAAATGTATTAACAGCTCCAAACTCAGATCAAGCAACTCTAATCTTGCAACAGCAAGCCATAATGGAAACCGCTAATATACAACAGGAACAAAAACAAGATAATTCAGGCAAACGTACATTCGAGGAAATAGCTACCCCTCCTCCCGACATATCAGATAATACAGCAGGCACATTAGTGGATCCTTTTATTAAACCCCTTCAAACCGTACCATCCAAGAAACCAAAGAATAAACAAGACACACCAACCGTGGTTCTTATGGAACCACTCAGAACTGTGATTTCAGAACAGAGTCCTCCATTTGTACTTGACTTTGAACAAATATCCGACCTTTTTGAGAACACCTACGGATCAACAGAACCTGTCAGCATAACACTGAACTACACCAAAGATCTTGTTGCTCTAGTAGACATGTTAACAAAAATCCATCCTTATATCAAACACAGGAGTATTAAAACTAGATGCACAAACCTGAGAAAGAAAATACTCAAGCACCTTCAGACGACTATGCCTGACCTGGAAAGCTCCGAAGCAGAGAGCGACTGTTCTCAAGAATCCTCCTACTAACTCTTTTCTTTTTTTCTTATCTCTTTCTTTTTATAGTAGAAGTCTATTTTAGTCAAA